TTATGTCTTTTCAGCCTGTTCACCCAAGTTCTTGCTTCCCTGGCCTTGTTAGCTGTGGTTTATGGATGATTACTCCAAGAGAATAAAATGATCAAACACTTGACGAAGGTTTGATGAGCATCCAAGGCACACTGGAAACTTTCCTAGATCAGATTAACTCCCTCATTATGTTGCTAGAGTAGTATTATGGAACATATAGGCCTAAATTATGTGTCTTCCTAAAAAGCAACTTAGGGAAAAACTCCATAATAAGAATACTGGGGACTTTGGCTATGACCACTGACAACCCTAATGTAACAGCTTCTAGTTGGGCCTTATCTCAGAAGATCACATGAAATATACCCAGGAAAGATTTGCAGGGGGAAAAATAATAGAAAATGCCTGCCCACGCCAGCCAGTATACTTCAGTTTCTTAGTTGCCCAGGTAACAGTTTCTGTTGCAGTTCTGGTTGCTTCTGTCTCCTAGAAACAGCTGGTCACTGTGATTCATAGCTGGTCACTATGATGCATATTTTAAAAATCAAATCCCCAGTGGACAAGTCATTCTGCTTCTGTCCTTCCTGCTTATTTATCCCACTTAAGCCCTAGACCACCAGAGTGATCTCTGATATTTTGGGAATAGTCTGATATTTTGGGAATACTCTCAGTCAGTGCCCACCAACATAAATAAATCTGCCTCCAAATCTTGGGTGTTGGTCATGTGTAAACATCATATTGTCTCCTTGGTGTAGGAACCTGAAAGATTAAGTAAAACTCAAAATGTACAACAGATGATAGGAAAGGGAAAGAAATTGCTGAAAGGAAGGAACAGCTGGGATGAGGGAAAGAAGAAAAAAGAAAGGAAGGAAAAAATAGACAGATACATAGATAGATGATAGATAGATAGAGGTATATAGAGATATATATAAGTATATAGAAGAACAACTAGGAAAACTGTACTGCTGATGTATGATGGTATATTGAAAGGAACAGTTAAGGCTTAAAGTTTTTTATATTTTGACCTATTTTGCATGCTTATTTCTGGTAATCTGAGCAACTGATTTGAAGACAACAATATGCAAGGAAACAACCACTGGTGAATTCCTACCATCTTGTCTAGTGAAACTCTGTATTATCTCTAAGGTTTTATTTAATAATTAATTTTTACTCTCTTTAATGGTTTGAACAATCTTCCATTCTTACATCTGGTAATCTGAGCAATGTAGTTGAAGATAACAATATGTAATATAACAATCACTGTTAATTCCTATCATTTTGTTTTGAAACCCTGTATCACTTTTAATGTTCTTTCTTTGTTTTGTTTACGTCTGTGATGTTGGTATGTTGCTATTGTTCTTTTTTTTACTATTCTCTTCAAAATAAAAAAAATAAAGAAAAATCTTGGGTGTTGTGGTGTTTCTGTTTGCCATTGCAAAAATCTCTTCCAGTGCAATAAATTAGTGAATTTCAGTTTCTATCTACACATTTTCAACTTAACAGAAGCTACAATTGATTTCTATTTCCTTATGATAAAATATATTACCATTATTATTGCTACTTTATTTTACCTTACCCCAACCTTGACAAGCTCTTGGGTTAATAATATCCCCTAGTTATTGTGGACTGACCAGGTCCACAATCTCCCAAATGAGTGCATGGCGAAGGCTAAATAAAAAGAGGCACATGGAATGATTTCAGGGTTCCAGGAGGATCAAAGCCCTCTCACAGAATTTGAGATTCTCTTAGGGCTAAGACCAAGACCTTCTCTGGGTGGCCTGTGTTTATTTGTTTATCAGAAGAAGGGAGGGGAGTACTCAAGAAGTGCGGAATTACTCAAGAATTTCTCCAAGTAATGTGTTAAATTAACCCTTAATAAGAATTAAATTAATCCACCCAGGAGTGAGATGCCTGAGGCTATAGTCTTCATCTAGTTGAGATCAGATCCAGGTGTCCTTGGCTGTGATTTTTTTCTTATCCTTTGAGGTTTCCCAGCTTCATCTGCTATTTCAGGCCTTAGTAGGGATTAGTGACTCACAGAGGTTCACTTACTGAGTCCACTGTCCATTTCCAGACAAGGAGCCTAGGTCTTGAACAGATTAACAAGTGAACATGAAAAGCCAATTGATTAATTTAAATCCTGCTCAGGTCTGCTTTGTAGAGGTCTCTATCAACAAGCCTTGCTGTGTGTTCTAAGAAATGTAGAGAAAGAAGAATGTAGGACAGATAATAGAGGGAAGTTCTCTCTCTCTCTCTCTCTCTCTCTCTCTCTCTCTCTCTCTCTCTCTCTCCCGCTCCCCCCCCGTTTTGGGTCCTCTTGTTACGGTAACATCTCTAGTGCTCAGTCTGTGTCTCAGGGTAAGGTCCCAGGAAGTCCCTGGAAAATCCTCATGGACTCTTGTACCCAGAACTTCCATCACATCAGCAATGAACATGCTCTAGTTTATTGTCTAGTTAAGATTATTACCACCATTGTCCCATACCTGCAGTTCAAGCACTATATCACAGCAGAAAGTCATTTTGTGTGGATCTTGCTTTGCAATTGCTGCTATGAAAAATAACCACAAATCTAGTGGATCAATACAAATTTCTTCATTAATACTTTGGAAGGCTAGAAGTCTGAAATGAATCATGTAAAGATGATATTAGAGTCTTAGTAGGGCTGATAATTCTGAGGGAAGAATTACTCCTTATCTAAATCAGTGTCTTGGGGATAAATAGCTCTGTATTTATCTCTTATAAGGACACATGTGATTACATTTAGGGCACATGTGGCTAATCCACAATTGTTGTCCCATAGTATTTATAACAGTGAAATACTATTCAGCCATAAAGGACAAACTTGAGTCATTTATAAAAAAAGTGGATGAAACTTGAGGTCATAACATTAAGTGAAATAAATCAGATACACAATCTGAAATTTTGCAGTTTCTCTTATATGAGAGACTCAAAGTATAAGTAAATTAAAGAACAAAGTAAAAGACAATAAAAAGAACGAAGAGAGAACTTTTGCAAATAGGAAGGGAATGAAGAGATGAAGCACAGATGAAAGGGACATAAAGATATTAAGCTGTGTGGTGTGCATGTACCAATTCTCCATGGTGAATGCAGCCACTATACATTCCAAACTTGTGTTAATACAAATTAAAATTGAAAAGTAACTATGCTGCCATTACCAATGGAAAGAAGGACTATAGTAAGGGAAAGTAAAAGGCTAAATATTAATAATAGTTAAAGTACTAATAAAGTAATAACATGTAGATTGGGTGGGGAAAGTGAAAATGGAAGAAGTAAGATTTTTTAAGAAGGAAGGTAAAATGAAAAAGAGAAGAGGAGGGAAATACCCCCCAAAACACATAAAAGTGAATGAAATCAAATAAAAGAGAAAAACAAACAGAAGGCAAAAGTAAAGCAAGAGAAAAAGAATAAAAAGGGATAAAGAAGAAAAGAAAAATGAATCCAAAACTGCCTCCACCCTGAGGTGTTGGTCAAATTTCTTCACCGGATCCCTAATATTGGAATCTATGTGGTACTGGGGAGCTGCAGTGAGTGGCATCCTGAGATCCTTGTATCTGAGGTGCTTCATGAAAGCTGACCGGGCCCACCTTTCCGGCTGGGTGGGGCCAGTCAGTAGTATGTTGTCTCTTTCTGCACCAGTATGCAGGCTAGAGGCTTTTATTCTGTTTCCTTCTGTGCACCTGCAGTCATAGCTGTCCCCAGCTAGCTTGTGGCCTGTGGGCTGTTTAGTTGCCCCACACACTTGTAGAGTTAGAGCCACCTTATCTGTACCAGCAGCATAGCAAATGTCCAAGCAGCAGTGTTTCCCTGCACCATTTGGACAGTCTGAGTTTTCTGCTGGAGGGAGGTAATAAGGGGAACCAAACTGTCTGCTGGGCTAAATCCTGGAGCTTTCAGGCTGAGCCCTGAGAAAATCACGGTATGATGGATCTTCATTCTCACCACAAGAGGCTGGTGCTACCAACCATTGTTCCCACCATAGCCGCCGTTCCCTGCTGCATAAACAGCTCAGAGAGAGGACAATTGTAAAGTGCAGATGTTATTGACCTGGGAATTTAATTTTAGACAGTCTTACAGAATAAACAAAGGAGAGTGGGCACTGTATTGGCACATGTAGAAGGCACAAAAGTTGAGAGGACTAAGGAAAGTGGAATCTGTTTAGAATCATCATTGTTCTGGTAATTCTCAAACTTCTGAAATTGTTGAATTAAAACGAAATATTTTATTTCTGGCCTTTTAAAGATGCTATGAAAGAGACAAATTTTTAAAATGAAAGTTTCACAATTGAAATGTTAAATGAAAGCTTTGTTGTTTCAATCGGACTTGCAACGAGGTCTTTAATTAGTCAGCTTTAGTTAATGAGATTGCAGAATAAGTTGGACGTTTGTATGGCAGGCAAGCTGAAAACTGACTTCCAAAATTGAGAAAGTCATACTATTTTCTATGGGAGCAGCGTTATGCAAATTTCTTCTTCCATTATAATATCGCTATGTTGTTGCTTAACAATTATGTTGACAATATCATAGACGACACACATGAACAATGAGGAGCAGAGGCAGTAGCATAAACTTTCATAGCACAGGCTCTTTAATATCCTTCAGTCTAAATTTTCCTCATTGACTTTATCTCATTGTTTTATTCAGAAATCATTTATTGTAATGTCTCCAAAATTATATTTTCTTAAATATTATGACATCTTATTTCATGAAAATTTATGTAAATCAAGCAATATTTTCACAAAAAAACTTTGGCATACTTAAGAATGCTATTGATTTTATAAGATTTTATTCAGATAAAAGTATAAATTTATATTATTTTATTCATAAAGCAAGAAAATGATCAAGACATAGGGTAAGAAAAAATTTATTTTCATCTCTCCTGTGACGTTACAGGATAAACAAAATGATTTTTTGTCTTCGTTTGTTTATTTGCTTTTTGAGACAGTCTCACTATGTAGTTCATGCTGGCCTTGAACTCACTATGTAGCCCAGGATGGCTTCAAACTCACACTGATCCTCCAGCCTCAGCCTCCCAAGCGCTGAGACTGCAGGTGTATGCCACCACGCCCAGCAATAAAATGATTCTTACAAATGTAGTAGTGAGTAATTTCGCAGTTTTCAGCCATATACGCATCTTTTGATCTATAAGATAAACAGGCTTGCTGCCTTTCAGAACTAGAAAGATAAAACAAAAGAAATCTAATAGTTGTCAAATCCCAAAGAGAATAGAGAAGTTTTATTTTATATAGGCATTTTGGAAACCATAACATCTATGTAATTTAATATCATTTCAGTAAATTTCTATCACCTAGTGGCACAAATAAGTGTCATTAAATTGAAAAGTTAGTAATAAGGAATAGAAACAAATGTTAAGTAAAATTTCAACTAAGAATAAAGAATCTAAAAGGAAACCATGTCAGGTACCATGATTGTAAAGGTGAATAAGAAAAATAAAAAGTCTGTGAGTAGGGATGAAATGTAGTGCAGTGGTAGAGCACTTGCCTCAGAGGTATGGAGTCCAGGGTTAGATCTTTGGCACTGCAAAAGAGGATAAAATAAAACCAAAAAAAAAAAAAAAAAAAACCTCTATGAATAACAGTCCTAGTTACAATTATTTAGTGGGGTCAAAATGTGCTTAGACACCACAATCTTTAGCCTCATTATGAAAATGATTTAGTTGCCTGGAATAACAACCTGGAAGACCTAGTAGTATATCCACAACTAAAAGTTAGATCTTATAGAATAATGTGGTTATTGATAGAATTTAAACCAAGCCTTGTGTTATAGATTACACATACTAAAAAAAATTAGGGGTTAGAACTTAATGTCCAGTACGTCAAAATATGACTGCATTTATAGATAAGGTATTTAAAGCAGTAAGTCAAAATGAGGAAATAACAGTAAGGCAACCTAACATAGCCGATATCCTACAAGAGAAAATTTGGACATACACAGATAGCTACAGAGAAAGACCACATGGAAACATAGAAAGAAGAGTATTATAGACTAAATTGTGTCCATTAAAAATTGGTATGTTCAAATCTTTACCTTCAGAACCTCAGAAAGAACCTGGAGACACGGTCTTTTACAAAGTAATGAGTTAAAATGAGGTCCTTCGGGTGAGCTCTAATCCAATATGACTGGGGTCATAAGAGGAGGAAACATGGTGGTAGTGTGCATGCCAAGGACAGAGGTCCCACAAGACACCATCTTGCCTACATCTTGATCTTAGACTTCTAACCCTCAAGACTATAAGAAAATAAATGTTACACCACTCAGTCTATTGTAATTTGTCACGGCAGTGTTAGAAACTAATGTGGTTTGTAAACAAAAGTCTCAGGAAAGGGCAGATGAAGAAATTAAGTTATGTGATCCACTTCTGCAATCCATATTTCTGTATATGGGATTGGATTTAAATGACTGTCACTTTCCCACACCCCCAATGGTCCTTGAAACTATACCCTAGGTTACATTTATTTGTGCTTCTTTGAGCAAATGCAGTAATTAAACTAAGCACATTGTGTCAGACAGATACTTACATATTTGAGGATAGAACCGAGTTATTTTCCCATAGCCATTTATTTTTAATTTTCTTATAGTAAATTCCAGTCCAGAAGAAAGATTTCAAGGAGAAGAAATCCTGAAAGTATGAAAATACATTCAAATATGAAGTTTTCATTATTATGTTTTCAACAAGTGCAAGGAAGTACCTTTAAATAATTCATGATATGTGTACTTGTTTGATTCCTTCACCCCACAAAGCCATTAACGTGTTTATGGTGCAGGACTATTTTAGATGCTGATGATCCAAAGAAAATCACAAAAACCCTGTGTTGGTGGGAAATATAGAAAATAAACACAAGTAACAAGATAGTGTTGGTTAGGGACAGTAAGGAGTAAGCATTTAAGAGAATAAAAGCCTCAGATTTCTTAGAGATTAATTTATATCCACTGACACTCTTGTTATGCGCATAACTAAAATAATCTCCTGTATCAGGGGAATTCACACAGTGGGTACTTTAATCTGACCTTGATGTACTCTTTGGAGTTAAGATCCCCACACATATACCAACTTCTCACATGGTTGTGTACATTCTAGTAAACTGATCGCACAGTGGCATTAGCTTTTGAACCACAAGTACTATATCACCTTGGAGCTGGGCTACACGAGGTTCTTTTCTCTTTGTCTGAAATATTTCTTATAATAACTGTTTCCTTCTGAATTTGCTAGCTCTACATATTTTCATGAAGGGAATCCCAAGTTTTATTTCAAATATTTCTCTTTTGTTACACAATATATAAAGTTATTCTATATTTTGTATATAAAAATTGAAACAAAAAACTAGTTTTATCTTTTAGACATTTGTCTAGTGCTGAATTTGAGAAAATGTGAATGATTCCTCCATTTAATTTTACATATCTTTCATATCATTACGACACTCGGGTACTAACTTACCATTTCCTCTTTGTTTATTTTCACCAGACTGGAATTTAGAGACGAGCATGCATGTTGACTCTCTCTCCAAGTTAGCGCCTTCATGGAGAAGTAATAACAGCTACATCTGAACCAGATCCAATGTTTTGGACAAGGTTGACAGTGAGGCCCTAGACAACGGTTTCCATGATTAAACTGAGGAGACTCACAGCTCTGATTTTATTACTTGTTCAAAACATGCCTTGAAAAGTATACTTATGATATTGTAGGAGTAGTAAAGATAGAAAAACTTCACTTTAATAAAGTTATGAATGGGAAATATAAACCTCTGTTTTTGTTTTTGAACCTGTTGCTACTTTTTAGATCATTTATACAACACAGAGTAGCTGAACCACGCTTTTCTTTCTTCCAATGTGGTTAATCGCCTTTGATAGCTTTAAACATCTTCTTCGTGTTATGTAATCATTAGGTTAGTTTTTTTAGTTAAGATTTTGCCCTTTTGGGACAAGGATGTAGCACAGTGGCATAGCGCCTGCGTAGAAGGCACAAAGTCCTGAGTTTGATTCCTGGTATCGAAAGTCTTTTTTTTTTTTTTTTGTCTTTTTGAGACAGGGTCTCGTTATGCAGTTCAGGCTGGACTTGAGCTCACTTTGTAGCCCAGACTGGTCTCAAACTCGCAACAATCCTCCTGCCTCAGCTTCTTGAGTGCTGGGATAACAGGCATGCACCACCACGCCTGGCTTTATTCCAGTTCTATTCCTCTAAAACTTATGAGGTTTAACTTACCTCTGATATATATTTCAGTTAGCTATCTATAAATCTGTCTCATATTAATATCTAGGAACTTGTGTTATAATTTCGGTAACACATACTGAAGTAGTTTCCCTAACATGGCTGTATGTTTGTAGAACTGATGTGAATAATAAACACCTTTTCTGCTTATATCAGTGTAAGAAATCAGGCTATAAAACCATTGCTTACCTTTTTGCTGGATTGTAGGAGATGTTTTGGGGGGAGATGCTAAAAAAAATCAATATCATATTACATTTGGCTTCACATTGACACATCAGAATGAAATAAGAAGATGCCATATTCTTTAAGAACAAATTAGCAATTTTGTAGAAGAAAAAAAATTTCATACAGTCATGCTAGAAATCGAACCCAAATCTCTGTACATGCAAGGCAAGTGCTCCAAGATTCAGGCATATCTTCAAGCAAGGAAAAACTTTTAAGGTAAAACTGTTGTGAGTGTAGTCTTTGATTGCCTTATTAAAGGTAATGAATTATTATTAAAGGTAATGAATGAGTATTAGTATTATTAATAATTATTTATTGTTAAATAATAAAAATTATTATTAAAGGTAAATAAGTAGTCTTCCAGAACAGAAAATGATTTAGAAGACTATCTACGCACCATCTGCGGTAAAAGCAGCCAGCGTGATGGCTCCACCCAGCAGAAGAAGGAACTTGACACCGAGGACACTAGAAATGAGCCTCCAAGGCAGATGTGAGGAATGCCCTGAGAGAATCAAAACCAAAAGCAGACAGAATGAGAGCAAGAAGGCAGGCCAAGTAAATAGAAATTTACAGAACATTCTACAGTCGCGAACGCATTTCAATACTTGTTCTTTCTTGATTCTCTTAGCAGGCACATGGAATATTTTTAACCAATGTTTTAAAGTAAATAATGAGATTTTCCTAAAAATTTACTTTCTGAAGGGTGTATGGCAAAGTAGGACATCAGGACCGTTTCATGGGCAGAGTCTGATACCCTTAACATAAAAACAGTAGTAAGCAGTCAATGAGAAATACAAATGCCTTCACAGAAAAATAGGTTAAGAGTATGTGTAAGTAATTTACGATTTTACAGTAAAATAATGGAAGTAAAAAGCTTGTTTGCTGCATAGACTGTTTGCCTAAGATAATTGATTAATGGCAGAGCTGAGTACTGGAGGGTGCTCAGCAGCCTGGTGTGTGTTCGCACCGAGAATCTCAAACTTCACCTTGAATCCCAGTGGTATTTATCAATAATTTCACTCTTGTTCAGCTAATTTTTTTGCCACTCATATTCTTTTTAAAATGTTCACCACTGCCCTTATGCGGTACTACCTCCCCTACAGGAAATGCGTAAAAATCAAAAGAACGATGAACGGGGTTTCTGTGCTGGGAACATATCAAAGGCTTCACTCATTCCATTGCAGTTTTTTTTTTTTTTCCTACTATCAGGTCAGTTACTTCACCTTCTCTCTCTTTTGGCCAAAAAGCACAACTCTGAAAGCGACCCCTTATTGTAAATGTTCTGTCTTTAGAGAACAAAGCGTGAAGCATGGGAGGACTCTGGAGAAAGGAGGCGTCACCCAAGCTACACATCCCCAGCCAAACTAGCTGGATAGTCACGGTTTGTCATGACTTTTGTTCAATTTAACACAATTAATTCGTTAATTTGAAAATTGAAGCTGCTCTTTTTTGCCTTTCCCAGCGCATGTATCAGCTGTGTGTTCCTATCAGGACAGACAGCAGCGTGTACGGAAGATAACTGAGGATTCAAATTCAGAAAGTTGAGAAATGGCCATTAACCTTCCCACAGGTAGAAACATAACCTTTCCTGTCATATATAAAATCTAAAGAGGGCAGACAAATTATGTTTATAATTGGACAGTCTTCTATAAAAAGGTCAGCTCTTCTCAAATGAAGCTCTATGAATAAATAGCTTTTAAAAATTTTTAAAATGGCTGTAGGAATTGTTCTAGAATTTCAGAAATTCTAGAGTAATGTTGAAAAACAGGAAAATGAAATAAGAATCTAAAAATAAGAATTTTGAAACTTAGGGAACTCAGTCTACTTCTAATTAAAAGCGAATAGTCTTAATTAGCAAAGTTAATTTTTAAAATGAGAATTCAAACAGATGTCCCTGAGACAGACCACAATAAAAGTGTTGACAGAGAATATGATCCAAAAAAGAAAAATCCTCAGTAAGTCACGAAGAAAACACTTGACACCAGTAATCTTCACAGCCTCCTGTAACTACAACACACGATTTACACTTTGCTTTCTTTCTTTTTATCTAAGTAAATATTTGAAGAGTAGAAAACGTTCAGAAATGTACACATATCGGAAGCACATATTTGGATGAATTTTCAGTTTGAACACTCCTGTTCATCACCCTAACTGCCCTAAAAACCAGCAATACAGAGGCTTCCCATTGACCTTATTTCTGTTGCCACGAAATAATTTTGCTTGTTTTAAACTTCAAGTACACAAAATCCACAGTATGGGGAAGTTTTTCATTATGTGATTTAAGTAGAAAGTAAAATACAAAGGAAAAGTATACACCACAAGCCACATGGGTGTACATGACTGAGAACAGCATCACCGGTGAGCTCCAAAATGGGGACTGTGTTTTAAGACCTTGTTTAATAAACGTGCAAAATAAATAAATAAATAAATAAATAAATAAATAACGGGCATTTCCTTGATCAATACACAATGTAACTATAATCTATCATCTTTTCCTTTAGAAGTAAAATATTTTCTTCGAATTTTATTACCAGTTTAGAATGACCTTACCAAAATGTTTATGGTTTTGAAAAATAATCCAAGGAAACCTCAATGGTTTATTTTTGACAGCCACATGTAAACTTGGCTTCTGCATTTTCAAAAGTTTGCCAGCCTCCCTGCAAGCCTCCATGTCTTTCCCAGATCCCTAAGTCTAGAAATAACAAGTCTGCAGCAGCCAGACTCAAAATTCCAGAAAAACTCACAACCTGCAAGTTCATATTACATTAGGTGTGTTAAATTTCACCTAGGATTTAATTTTATCTTTGGTAATAGGCAGTTTGAGGTCTAACTTTGAAAGAACTGTACAGCCTTTGTCTTTTCTTTTTTTCAGGAAATAATGGTATAGAGGATGGTAAAAGTGAGCTGTACACCACAGGTTGGTCTCGCCAGCTACAGGCTTACTTTTGTGTCTTTACAATTTTTCTGATCTGAGTCCTTTAAGCAGTTGTGTCTACTAATTTTTCCACACTTTGATTCTTAAAATTCTGTAAAGAGAATTTACTTCCAACCTGTCACATTCAAATTTTACTCTTCGTTCAAATATAAATCAATTATCCCCATAATCATGTAATGTCTAAAATATCCAAATTACTTTTTAAATTATTTATACCATTGACCATTTGGCCTTTGCAATAATCAACGTTACATTCAAATTTTACTTGTGTATTTTCTAACTAAACTTAGAAAACTTTATACCGTATTTTTGTATGTCCTTATGCATAACACACTTCAGTACTTAATTATAAACATTCCCTTCACATTTATTAAATACAATACTATACCTTTCCTGGTGATGTCTTCTGCTGTGGTTTTATGTTTTTTATGTTTGTGGTGGTTTACCTGCTCTTTGATGACTGGCAATTCGTTTGAACTGTATTTATTTTTAATGTCATTTTTTCTTGTATGTTTCTGCTTAGAGTTCCTGTTTAGTGTAGAAAAAGTCATGGGTTCTTCATTCATCTTTATAAAAAAAAAACTTGTGTGAGACAAAGAATATATCATTGTATAATTTTAAGGTGTGTTATAATAAAGAGAGGTGAAACTCTAATTTTAAAAAATCTATGTTGAGTAGAAATTCCCATTACCTTTTCTGGATGGGTGTTCTCAACACTTTGAGAAGCTGCAAATATAAGAAAATACACCACAAAAACCTAGAAATAAAGGAAATAAAATAAGCCTAATAAAGTTTGAAGCCACCTAACCAATTTTCATAAGAAGGTATTTATTGTCTTTAATAAAAAATTAAAAAATCAATTCTAGATAAGCAATGAATTAACCACCCCCTCCAGATTCTCTCTGCCATAGTTGCAGTTTACATCTCAAAACTGAACAATAAGGCTGGGTGTGGTGAACAGCACACTGTAATCCCAACACTGGGGAGGCTGAGGCAGGAGGATCATTGCAAGTTCAAGATCAGCCTGGGCTATAAAGTGAGCTGAAGGCCAGCCTGAACTGCATAGCGAGACCCTGTCTCAAAAAGACAAAACATAACCTGAAAGAGTTAATTTAAACTCAGAGGTATGATAGGCATTGTGAAATGATAGGAAAACACTCAAGGGTAAAGGGCAACTGAGATGGGGGAAAAGAGAAGGGAAAGAAGGAGAAATTTTGTATGTATGTATATACAGGATAGTTAACATAGTTGTTCTACTGTCTTCTATTTCTTTGCTGAAACTGTTAATGAGTCCTTGACTGATCAATATTGCATGTCTCTGTCTTCACGAGAAACCACTTTGAAGATATCAATATGTAATACAACAAGCATTGTTAATTTCCTACCACTTTGTTTGTAACTCTGTATTGTCTGCACTGTTCTTTTGCTATTTTGTAAAAGGTTGTCTGTCTGTGAATGTTTTCCTCCTTTTATTTTTAAAATAAAGAAAGACAAAAAATAAATAAAAAGAACAATATGAGTTGATTGTCTATACATGTGCTGTGTTTATTAGATATGTTCTCTGGGAACCATTATATAATTTATGACTAAAGCCTGAGATTAATATTTACCTTTCACTGTTTTCCTAGTATGACCAATGAACAATCATCTTTTGTGCTTTTAGGATTTAAACAAAACTGCGCTTTTTATGCATAGATTCTGTTGATTTATTGTTTTTATATATATATTATTTAGAAGTAAATAACCAAGACAGACCAAAAACAAAAATATTGAAAATTCAAAGTTGAAGAATTTCTTGTAAATATTTCTGAAAATTTGTTCTCAGTGTCAGAGCCGGCAAAACATTGATCAGGAGAAAGTCACTGATCAGTCAGAGTTTAAAGCTTTCCAGAGAATTTTGCTAAGATTTCCAGACAGGCAGCAAGTTTGGGAAGAAAAGATTAAAATTAAGCAGAACTTTGAAATATTGAAGAAAGAACATATATTGCAGTGAATGTTTTAAATTTAAAATGTCTATCAACAGAGACAGCCCCCATAGTTTCCTTTCAATCATATGTTTCAAAAGTTGCAGGGCAGAAATTGTGTAGCAGAGAAAATGAGAAAATATACCTGCGGTGAGGAGGAAATTCCAGGAAGATGTCGAAGATGTCGTAAATGTAATATGTGGGAGGCAGAAGCTGGTCACTTAGAGCAGAACTGGAAACAGCAGACCCAGGTAGAAAAAGTGCCTGCTATGTCTCGTTTCATAATCACCTACAGGAACTTGTCCACTAAGTTATTTTGTTTTCCTCAAGCAGCCACAGGGGGCTGAGTATTGCTTGGTTCAGGTGAGGTACTGTGTTTCATTTCAAGGCCTGGTAAATAAAAGACTTTGTAAATAGGCACACGTTTCTGAAATCAAATATTTCTTTCCAATAAGTATATTTGCACCAAGATTCTGCTATATTTCCCTCTCTACAGACATGAATTAAACTACATTGAGTTATTGGATCATGATAGCATATATATATTCACGTGTCACCATGTGTCCTTTACTCCTGGTGATCTGTTCTGAGAAGCGCAGAATTAGGAGATTTCATGCTCATGCAATCACAGCATGGACTTACACAAACCAAGACAGCTTCGACTTCGCTGGGTGTATAAGATACGGGATCACTGTGGCATACTCAGTCCAATTTTGACCAAAACATAATAAATTTCTCTTTAGATTTTGCTTTTGATCACTTTTATTTCATTAATAATTTTTTAAAAATTAACTGAAATAGTATCTTCTCAATTAATTCATAAATGTGCATATACCACTGATTTGCTCCTAATTGTTATAAGTGCAAAAAAATAGATGAAAGGATAAATATATAATGGAGACGAGAGAGAAACAGATTTACTAATGTGGTCCAAGAACAAAAGAATGCATGACACACAGTATGAATTTAACAAATGCCTATAGATTCATTGAAAGAATAAATGGAATAACTGTCCACATACATACTTGCTAGTGGTGGAAATAATGGATAGGAAAAACAAGATTCTGCAACATTTAATTAGAAAGGTTAATCTTTCAGGGATACACAAAAGGCTTCCCCAAGAGGCAAAAAATTTAGATTGAATTAGAGAAGAAAATATAAACAATACTGAAAAACCTAGATGAAGGAGGGGAGAGGTGGCTAGGACTCAGGTACGAAAGACAGAAATAAACACACAGCACTTGCAGGAAACTCAGGAGAGTAGCAGGGGGCATGAACAGCACAGGAAAAGCATCAGCCAAATCGTGTAAATGGCATAGTTTTGACAATTATGCAGATTGGCTTTGCTTTTAAATATAGAGAAAATCATTAAACTGTGTTTTGTTTCATTGTTTCAGGAGACCAGTGTGTGCCCACCTATAAAATATACTCCGGCTTGAAGGTAGACATAGATTAGAGGAGCCAAGAGTGGCTATGTGGAGACTGCTTAGCAGGATATAGTAGTAATTCAATGAAAGGATTTGTAGGGAAGCACATTTCTAGGGAAACGAATATTTCAGAATTTCAGTAGATTGGTTTAGCAATTCATTAGCAGTGGAAAGAGGCTCAAATTTGGGGTCAAAGTATGAGGACAGGACATCTAGACCTGCAGTACCACTCATTAACATGGCAACAGGAGGTCATGTAGGCAAGTTTGAGATAATGGGACTCAGAAGCTGATATTTCTGAGATGTCTCTTCATTCTAGTTAAAGAACCTAACTGGAAGAATAAGGTCTTCTCTTTCTGGTTATTGCTATTATTATTAAGTCATAATATTTGTACATCTTAAAGGGGTACATTATGATAATACATGTATACAAATATATAATGTATAATAATCAAATCAGGAAGTAAGCACTTCCATCTCTTCAAACACTCATTTTTATGTGTTGGAAATTGTTTGCTTGTGTTTTCTGAGTCAGGGTCTAATTACACAATAGTTCAGGCTGAGCTTAAATTTACTATGTACTCCACACTGGCCCCAAATTCATGATAATCCTACTGCTTCAGTCTCTTGAGTGCTGGTATTACAGGCCTGTGCTACCATACCCAGCTTTTGTTGGGAATTTCTTACTCTTTCTACTGATTTTGAAATATATTATAAATGTTTTAACCAATACTTATCCCACCATGCTACAGAAAAACTGCTAGGCAAGGTGCATAAACTCAAGAGGCTGAAGCAGGAGGATCTCTGCAAGTTCAAGGCCAGCCTGGGCTACACAGTGAGTTCATGGTCAGCCTGAACTGCATAGTGAGACCCTGTCTCAAAAAAAAAAAAACCAACAAAAACAACTAATTCATACTCTCTGTATTTTGGTGACTTTTATTGAATTTCTTTCCCTTCCCCACTCCCTTCCCATCCCAGTTGCTAGGGACCACTATTCTATTCCCACCTTCCACAAGATGGACTTTTTAGTATTTAAGCATGAATTAGATCATGTGGTATTTGTCTTATTTGCCTTAAACTAATGACTTCCAGTTCCATCCATATTGCTACAAATGACAGGGTAGGATCTTTAATGGGAACAGCGTGGATTACTGAAAGGCTCAAAGGCTCTAGAGGTTTTTAATATGTTAAAATGTTGGGGACAAAACAATGCAGAAGAGCTTTTTGTGTGTGCTCTTTCTTGGCTACCAGCTCCACTTTTAAGAAAACACTCTAAAAGAAAGCAAAAGGGAAGAGGGAGGAGAGAGAGGCCTTGGTAAAGCCTCAAGAGAGACTGGGAGGAGAGAGAGAGAGAGAAAGAGGGAGAGACAGAGAGAGAGAGAGACAGAGAGACAGAGAGGTTGAAGGAATGTAAATGTTTCCTACTAAGTTGACAGCCCAATGCACCAGGATAGAAATAAACATAGGAACCTTGGACAGTTTAATTCCTGGGGGATCCTAGCATGGTGAACCAGGTATATACAATAAATTATCAAACAACAGGACTGCTGTCCTCCTCCCTTTCATAAAATTGAAAACCACAGGCCATGCGGGAGCAGCTCCTGTAAACTCAGGTAAACCGGAAAGGTGAGGTGAGGTGCTCACAGACTGCAGGCCCACCTGTCCCACCTCCGCACCCAGCGCCCTGGGGAGTGAAGCATAGTTCCTCTGTGAGGCTCAGCTGCAGCGTCAGGCACCTTCTCAGCAAACGTGTGACAAAGACAAGAAAAGAAACAGGGCTTGCTCTTTGTAGAAAATCAGGTGCAAAATAATTTCATACTTTTTCTTTTCAAGTAGTTTGCAAGGTTACTGCATAAATAAAAAAAAAAATCTGATGATTTCTCCCAGACACTTTTACACTAGTTCTCAGTCCTATCTTTTAATTTTCTTGGAAGCATTGTGCTATTATAGTTAAGAGCACACATTTGAACAATTTTTTTTTGGTACCGGGAATCGAACTCAGGACCGTGTGCTTGCCAGGCAGATGCTTATGCCACTGAGCTATATCCCTGGCGCAAGAGCACACATTTGGTATCAGAGAAGGTAGGCTATTAATTTAATTTGTACCATTTACTACCTTTATAATCTTGGGCCAGTTGAACTCCCTAATCTATTTCTATATTTGTAAAATGAAGCGAACACAAACATCTTCACCAAGGGGTGCTTCTAGAGATCAAGTGAAGACACACTGCTAAGTAATGTTATTAGGCGTTCTTTGTTCCCAACTCCTAATGTTTTTTTCTTTTGGTGTAGCTTCAGTATAATGTTTTTCTTTAGCGAAATACTTTCTAAAATGCTCACGATATGATACAAGAATGTTACCAACACTCCTGTCCCCTCTTAATGTTTAGTTTAAAATCTCCTCCAAGGGTGTGTTGATGCCAACGGTCCCATACTTGGAAACAAGTTTACTTTGCTCACGGGCAGTAAAATAGAGCAGATATAATCAGCTGAGCATATCTCAACCTATTTTATGTCTGAGATAATAGGCGAAATGGAAAGCCTTCAAATATATTGCAAAAGCGTGATAGTGAATGTTCCACCTAATCTAATGGTTCAGATTCTTTTAACTGTACAGTCATCAGTGAGAAAGTGTATTTAAATGTAACTAACACCATACAATAATAAACCTAATGTTTATTAAATGTAACTAATACCATACAAAAATAAACTTGAAAACTTTATTAGTGTCAATAAAGCAAACAAAATGTAGGTACTATGATCAGAAGAGTTTTGGTACAATAACAATATTGTACGTGGTGCCACTGAGAACATTTATATAGCTAGGAGTTTTTTTGTGTGTGTGTGTGTGTTTTTTTTTTTAGAGATCTCTCTGTATACTTCAAGCTGGATTCAAACCCAAGATGTGGCCTGGACTGGCCCCAAACTGGCAGCAATCCTCATGCCTCAGCCTCCCGCATGTTAGAATTATAGGCCTGCAACACCACGGCCAGTTTCACATAGCACTGTTTAAGAATATCCGTTAACGTCCCCCGCAATTTTTTGTTCCTAGCCTCGGATACTCGTTATTCACATTTTATGCTGATGACTATTTGATCTGTGACGTTCTATAGAAGTTGTCTGGAAAATTCCTATCAGAGAAAAAGCAGGACTATAAACACTGGTCTATTTTCTGGGCAGCACCATGAGGAGGAAGCCTGTGGCTGAGCAAGGTCATGACCTCATGACCAGGAAACAGAGAGAGAGGCAGGGTCTGGGTGCCGCAATCCATTCATGCCCTTAATGAATTTAAGATTACTTCCCGATGGTGCCACCTAGGGGCCAAACTTTTTAACACAATGGCTTTTGCAAACCATTCAAGAAATAATCTAAAGCCAGGTGTGGTAGCCCACGCCTGTAATCCCCACACTCAGGCTGAGGGAGGAGGATCACTGAGAGCTCAAGGCTACCCTGGGCTAGACAGTGAGTTCAAGGCTAGCCTGAACTACTAGTGAGACCTTGATTCAAAAAGACAAAAAAGGTCAATCTACAGTATAAGCTAATTAAATGGCATTCTAGTAAGTCGTTCTTATGACAAGTATTTTTGGAAAGATGCAAATCTCAGTATAATAAAAGCTAAACAAATTTCAAATGCAATTGACATTATCTTAGAAGTCTGTAGAGAATTCATCACCGTGGAAAATATCACTGGCATAATTAGAAGTGCTATACTCATTAAGACAAAAATAAATCTGATGGTTCTTAATTTAATAAGGCTTTTGAAAAAAGATTTCAATTCAGTTCATTGAGTTCATCATAAGACAGATGTGAAATTTAATTTGCTTGTTACAGCTTTTAAAAGTGGCTTTGTATGATATGTTTCAGTTAATATTTATGAATGATTTTGTTAATGTCATTGTGAATAATAAAATTATAATTTATCTTACTCAAGTCAAATGAAATCAGCACAGTATGGACAGTCCAAATGCAGCTGCAAATATTGTAATCAACATATTACAAAACAAACTGCAGGGTTGAACACAAAGTTACAATCCATATATAGCTCTCATTTTCTTTTATTACTTCTATTTGACTAAAAGCTGAAAGATGGAGATGCTTCTATTTGGTGAAAAGCTGAGGAACAACCATAAAAAACAAATGAGTCGGTGCTGGGGATTTAGCTCAGCGGCAAAGTGCCTGCCTGGCAAGCGCAAGGTCGTGAGTTCGGTTCCCGGTACCGGAGAAAAACCAAAAAAAATGAGTCAACTCTTAGGAAAGTGCCTCCAGGGCCAGGGATATAGCTCAGCAGTATAAGGGCTTGCCTGGCAATCCTGAGGTCATGAGTTCGATTCCTGGTACCAAAAAAAACAAAAACAACAACAAAAAGGAAAGTGCCTCCAGTAAAAAAAAAAAAAAAAAAAGGAACCAAACGACCTCCAACAAACCATCCATGCAGACTGTGATGTCCAGATTTAAAAATATAGAATTTTTAGATATGAGTAGGTTTTTTTAGGTAATTCACACATAGTAAGGGGTTAAAGAAACATCATGTCTATAAGATTCTTTTAATAGTAAATGGTACAGAAGTATCATTACATACATATGTGAATGTGTGGATACACACATATTGACAGAGAATGTGATGGAAGAGCTACTCTACTAATTAGACATGGGCACAATAACATCATCACCTAAAGCTGAACAGCCAAAGCAGAGGGAAAAAAGAAATTTTGAAAGTAGAAATAATCATCTCAAAATATCTGGATAGTTTATCTGTGGTAAGTTTCTTCAAAAGTAAATTATAATGGTGAGACCAAGCTGAAAAAAAATAAGCTATCATTAAGCAAAATGTTTTAAGAAAAATAGTGTATAGCAATTAGATTTAATCAAGAGAGTAACAGAAATACAAAAATGTTGTACTACTTTTCTGAGGACTTTCATGAAGCATTTAATGCTCATGCCTACCCTGTAATGTTGGTGATTTTGAGGTCCCCATTTGTCAGAGGAAGCAGATAAACCACAGAGAGTATTCCTACCTTACTCTACGTTTTAATTTGTAAGTGGAGGAGGTGGGATTTGAGGGTATTACAGAGAGGGGCCCACTTGGAAGACTCCAGTACTTAAGCACCCTGCCCGTGACTGCATTATATGCTAGAGCGCTACGTCGAAGAGCCTCACTGCACGCACATACTTGGCTTGCCGTCTCAAAACCCTCAAAGTTTAGTTTCCAGGATGGATGGACAATGCTTAAAAAATATACATATATATGTATATATATAATAAATATAAAATAAAATATATAAAATATACATGTATAAAATATATACTTGTGTATGTATATAATATATATATGTATACATATAAAACATATAAAAATATGTATAGCACACAGCTCTATAGTGATGCTTCAGACATTACTATAGGGTTTTGTATCTTTACGGAAAGCAAAGTAATTCACTACAAAATAGCATTAACATAAAACCTTTATTTCAGAAAACAAGGGACTGGGAACGTAGCTCAGCGGCACAAGTGCCTACCTGGCAAGCATAAGGTCCTGAGTTCCATTCCTGGTACCAAAAAAAATAATAATAATAAAAAAGAAGCCAATAATGCTAGAAAGGAGCAAAGATAAACTTTTGACATCAAGTCCCATGATCAAGGGATCAAATAAGATAAGAATTTGTGACACCAGAGCCAGGCGTGGTGGCCCACGCCTATAATCCCAACACTCAGGAGGCTGAGGCAGGAGGATCACTGCAAGTTCAAGGCCAGCCTGAACTGCATAGCCAGACTCTCTTTAATACCAAAAACTAAATAAATAAATAAATAAATAAAGCTGAAATAGTTAAGTGATTAAATACAACAAAAACAAGATAGAGCAAAAATCATGGGTGAGAGTTACTCTCTCTAGTCAAATCTTCCAGAATTAAGTATTTTGAACATCTTGGTAATAATGAGTTAATCATCAGCACTCACTTCCAAAGTTTTGAAGCTTTGTGTAGGTGGATGAACTAGAAAAAGGTAAAGCCTGGAGACCAGAAACCTGATCTTTAATGCACCTAATGTTAACCCTCATTATGTCAGATTTACACAAATCTAAGTAATGAAGTCACTACAGTAAATGACATGGATGGAAAGCTTCTCTAATTTTGACCCAAACGGCTGGGTGAATTGTCTCATCTCACCAACAAAATTTTCATGCAGTACTTTGTTGAAGTAACATGTGCTAGCATGATTAAGCTGCCCAGGCTGAAAGATGACAGTGCTCAAATGGAACCAGACCCACACCTGAGAGGGCTACAGGAAGGAGATGCCCTGCCTGTGTTTCTGCAGGTAAAGCACCGGGGAAGTGGTGCTCATCAGCATGGTTGCCACCCGGGCCAAAGGATTATTCCTAGACTAGGCATGGGGCTGCCAAGTCTATGAGGAGGCTGGAGGGACACGGGGGAGACTAAGTGGAATTGCTGAGCACCGGGAGAGAAGCACGGGATGTAGGTCTATGTGCTCACTGGCACAGCAATGCTGAAGGACTGGGAAGACTCCATCAGTACTGGAAGGAAGAGGGAACAGAAGATGCCATAGAAGTGCTGCAGCATCCCAGATCTGCGCAGGCATCGCACTCTGAAGCACTGAGGCAACCACTCTGCCGAAAGGGACCCCAGGTTGTGCCCACCACATACTCGGCTTCTCCTCTAAGGTCTATGTCAGGCATCAGATTGATTGATTGATTGATTGATTGATTTTTGTCTTTTTGAGACAGGGTCTCACTGTGTAGTTCAGGTTGGCCTTGAGCTCACCTTGTAGCCCAGGCTGGTCTTGAACTCAAAAAGATCCTCCTGCCTCAGCCTCCCAAATACTGGGATTACAGGTGTGTGCCACCACACCCAGCAGGCATCAAATTATTATAGGCAGCTGAGTTAGATAAAAATTAATATATAGGCAGAAAAGGACTGGGCTCTCAAGAAGTCAGTGAAAGGTGGAGACACCAGAATTGTGGCTTCAAAAAAAGACAAAAAAAAAGCCGGGCATGGTGGCGCATGTTTGTAATCCCAGCACTCGGGAGGCTGAGGTAGGAGGATCCTTGTGAGTTCAAGGCCAGCCTGGGCTACAAAGTGAGCTCAAGACCAGCCTGAACTGCAGAGCGAGACCCTGTGTCAAAAAAAAAAAAGACAAAACCAAACATACAAAACACCAAAATTGTAGCTGGAGGCGCATCTGAAGAAGATAAAGCCTCAAGATTAAAATTACAATGGTCAGATTTACATACTTCCTTAAGGGGTGAGCCGGGAGGGGAAGTCTGAGATTATACTGTAACTGGCACCACCCTTTTGGGATTTCCCTCAGAAATAGACCATTATCTCATTAGACGTGGGCCATCCTCTCCCATAGACTAAGGCTAAGACTATAGACTGTCGACCAAGGTTAATGCTGTCATCCATACACCCTTGCTGTGTGCCCCATTTCCCTACTGGATCAATATTAGCTAAGTGGCTATACTTGTAATCTTATGGATTGATTATAGTCTGACTCATGTTGTACCCACCTTGTGACTTCACCCTATAAAACATTCTCGGAGAGATGACACTGGTAGTTCAGTGGGGATCCCTCTTGTGTCTCAGGAGCTATTCCTATTCCCCAATAAACCTTCCCTACTCTAACCTCCTTTATCCTTTGGAGTTCACTCTTGGATTTCAGGCAACACAAAGTCAGCACATCTGACACCTATCAGGTTGGGATTTATTTTTCTCCTACATCAAGATGACTGCAGATTTCCTATAAGAAAGATGACTTTCATACTTGCTATAAGAGTTGGTATTTGGAAACTAGACTGAAGCACAGATCGTCCTCTCACCCTGGCTCTTTTCACCTCTCCTTGCTGGCCTTTTCTTTCAAAGAAGACATGATGGGCAGTGGAGAAGGGGCTTATTAGTAATGTTCCTGTTTAGTGTTAAGTGATGGGACTTCTTCTTTTATTGAGGGGTTGGGGGATGAGCATGTCATTTGTGAGCACTTCTGTGAGTGATCTGTTCCTTCTTTTTCATAATCCTACCCCTCTAAAAGAGGCAAGTCCCCACCTTGGGTTCTGAAATGCTCTTGTTTGTCTAATCTTAGCCTTGACTAGGCATTCTTTGATTTAAAAAAAAAATTATTAAAAGCTACATATATGAAGCTGGGCATGGTGGTGCAAGCCTGTAATCCCAGCGCTCAGGAGGCTGAGGCAAGAGGATCATTGCAAGTTTGAGATCAGTCTGGGCTACAAAGTGAGCTCAAGGCCAGCCTGAACTGCATAGTGAGACCCTGTCTCAAAAAAGACAAGATACAAATGTGAGATTAAATTTTTCATGAATTTATCCTCTGATGTGTTCATTAATCCATTAGGTTGCTTACTTTCACTGCAGGATACATTTATCTGCACATTATATACTGAACATAAAACATGAAAATAAGTGACTGATAGAGGAATTTAACTGTCTCACATTCCAAGTTCCTTTTTTTAATTCAGGAGGTTTCTATAATAGAGACCCTTACACTTATTTTGTATTTGCTGAGATAAAACAAGCCAATCTGTTGTCCGTCTAAGGTCAGGATAACAACTGCAAATATACAATACATCTCCCTCCTTTGGGTGGAGACATAAACAAAGCTGATGATCGATGAAAAAGATAATCTACTTTTGTCTATTGTCAGGATTCTGTGGTCTTTGTTTACAGAAAGGCAAAACACTAACAAAGGACAGATAGGTCGAAAAGGGAAAATGATAGCTGTAGCCAACAAAGGCGGCAGGGAATCACTACATGGATCAGGTCTGCCACCTAGCGGCCCTGGTCACTTTGGCATGGTAGCCTCTGAACTGGGATGAAGTGGGCAGGAAGTTGGTTCAGGCTGGGGAGCTGCCTTGCAAGTTAATCAAACTCATTCAGGCAGAGCAAAATAGAAGAGAGGAGACAGAAGATAAGTGGCTTGTTTTCTCATAGTTTAACAAAAACGACTCATGCTGTAGCCTCATTCCTATGTGACAGCAATCTGATTTGTCAGCTACAGTTGTCTTTGATTCCGCAGCAATGCAGAACTGAGATGGAAGGAAACACTGATCTGGCAGAAATTATTCTATGTTTTAGAAATAAAATAAGGCAAATTCAGAATATGAGCTCTGTATTAGTCAAGGTTCTTTGGAGAAAGAGAACAATAAATTATATTTCTAGATCTACACATAAATAGAACTACGGAGATCATGGGAATTGGTGCATGCAGTTATGGAGGTGGAGAGATCTCATCATCTGCTGCCTTCAAGCAAGAGAAATGGGAAAGCCAGTGATGTAATCCAGTCCAGGTCCAATGGCCTACAAACGAAGAGAGCCGATGGTGTGAACCCCAGCATCCAAAGACGCCAGCACCATGAACTTCAGTGTCCAGCATCTGAGGGCAGGATAAATTGGATGTCGCAGCTCAAGAGCAGAGAATAGACCCTTGCCTTGCCTTTTTATTCTGCTAAACCCTCAATAGCTTGGATGCCAGCCCACACTGGTGAGTGTGGAATGCCTCTTTTCAGTACACTGACTCAGATGGCAAACTCTTCTGGTAAGGTCCTCATGGACACATCCAGAAATAATGTTTACCAGCTCTGTGAGCTTCCCTTTAGCCTAGTCAAGTTTACACAGCCCCAGCTTCCGAAACTGTCACTCATGCATTGTTAAATTTGCCCTTTCCTTTTTGAAAATTTAAATCACTTTTTTTTTTTTTTTTTGGTCTTTTTGAGACAGGTTCTTACTATGCAGTTCAGGCTGCCCTTGAGCTCACTCTGTAGCTCAGGCTAGCCTCGAACTCAAAATGATCCTCCTGCCTCAGCCTCCCAAGTGCTGGGATTACAGGTATGCACCACCACATCCAGCTTTAAATTTTAATTAATACATATAAACATAAAAGTTGAACTTATTAATGGGGTTCCATGTAATGTTTACATACATGTACAGTGCTATATTTAAACCAAGTTTAAACATATCTCCTCATTTATTATTTCTTTATGTTGAAAACATTCAAAATCCTTCCTTTTTGTTTCTTGAGACATGCGTTCCATAATGCTGTCTTTGTCACCATACTATGCAACAGCACACAGAACTCCTTACGGCTCTCTAACTGTAGCTACAGATAGATCATGCAGTACTTGTTTCTATTCCTCATTTCTCGCTTGTCTTCTGTTTTTGGATTCTGACACATTCTTCATTTGGGAATCCCTGACCCCTTGACAAACAACCCTGTCTTTACTGATGAGCTTTTGATGCAGCTTTTCCTTAGGGTTTTCTCCTTCCCAATTTCAACACTGTCTTTAGGAAAGAACCAAGTCCCACAGCCAATATAAGGGAAAGAGCATTGAATTTAAATTATAGGACGTGAGTGGGAATCCCAGCTCTGAACGAAATCATTACTAGGAACGAAATCATGCACTGTTTGTTCTGAGTTGACTTTTAGGTGTCCCCCAAAGGCTCATATGTTGAAGTCTTGATCACCTACTTATGATGCTGCTGGAAGGTAGAGGAACCTCTGAAAGGTGTGGCCTCATAGTGGGAAGTTAGGACAGTGAAGGCGTGTGTTTGAAGGGATAATGGGACCCTAGCCCATCTCCCTGTCTGTCTCCCTCTGCACACTCCAGCTGCTATCAGATGCGCCACCAGATGCCCAACACAACCAAGTCAGGTGACCATGGTTTGAAACCTCTGAAACCATGAGCCAAGACAACTCTTTTCTTCTCACACACTGATTGTCTCAAGTATTTTGTCACAGCAACAGAAAGCTGACTAATACACTCTCTGAGGCTATTTCCTCATGAAACATTAGAAAGGAAAAGAACATGCATTCAGTACCCAGAGCCAAGAACTTTGCTTCAAGCTTTGCTGTTACCACACTTCCTCAATATGACATAACTGCAGTTAGCAGAACTTCTGATTCACAGATAGAAATACCTAAGACAGAAAGGCAGATATTTGCCTCACCCTAATCTAATGTCTGCTCACCTTTTGATGGTGTTTCCCTAGCTGCAAAAAGGGGATGATAGCATCATGTGTATGTTGTGAGGATCACATAGAGAATGGCCTTTTAAAAGGACTTGTAGCCAGGCATGGTGGCGCACACCTGTAATCCCAGCATTTAGGAAGGTTGCAGCAGGAAGATCAAATGTTCAGGGCCAATCTGAACAACTCAGCCACAAGTCTTGATTTTACTGAAATCCTGTGTCAAAATGAAAAATAAAAGCGGCCTGGAGATGTTGCTGAGGGAAGGGTATGGGCTCAATCCCAGGACTGGAAAAAAAAACAAACATCAAAAAGCCAAAAAACAATGTTTCTGTGTTTTGCCTGAGCGACGGGTGGCCTTGAGCAACTAATATGTACAGAGAACAGCTTTGAAATGTTCAGAGGAGCTTTGTAAATGAGAATCCTATAGACATTTTCAAGAGCTTTAAAGAAAACAAACAAAAAATACAAACCCGAAAAAACTTGCTCTCTCTGTCTGGGAAAAACACTGGCTCCGCCTGGTTGCTTCTGCCTCACTGCCTCCTCAGTCTGAGCTGCAACCGCAGCAGGGAGAGCTGAGCAGGACGCAT